CATGGTAGCTGGCAAGAATTCTGATGCCTGCGTCCTGCACTGAAGAACTGTGGTGGTCGCTAACCTGCCGTTTCTCATAGAGGGTGTTGTGTGGAACCCCGCAGTTTTCTGCATCATGATTCTCTCATACACTGGAAAACTCGGAGGTTCTGAGAACATGCAAGTCTCTGAGAGATCCTGCAGTGAGGAACCAGTTTATACTCTGTTAACCTAGAACTCCCCAGACCTACTTTTAATGTTGAAAAAAGTTAGTTTTCAAATAACACCTATTAACATCCCTCAAGACTGGGATTCCTTAGCAGAACTGGGAATTGCTGGTCTCATGCTTGGCCAGCACGACACAGTTGCAAACTACTTCCTAGCCCATCCTCTCATTTTGACAGGAGTCTCCACAGCAGCCCCGGGAGATTGGCAGGGACGCTCTTGCCACCCCATGTTGTACATGCGGAAACAGAGATTCAGCAAGGACTCAGCAAAAGCCACAGAGAAAGTGTCGGGCAGAGCTGGGCTCTACCCCAGAGCTGGGCTCTACCCCAGAGCTGGGCTCCTCTATCAGGCGCTCTTTTTCCCCCTGCACTATATTGCCCTCAGAAGGACAGGTGTCTGCTGTCCTTCAGCTGAAGATGAGGGTGGCATCGTGCCCAAATGTGAAAGCAGGACCCCAAGTGGTTTCCCAGAGGTTTACAGTGGCGTGTTCTGTCCTGGCCCTTCCCAAGATGGACAAGAGATTTTTGGTGCTTCTTTCAGGGTCCTTCTACTCAAGGTCATCAGCTCACAGATGGAACAAGGTATATGGGACAACCTGACCCCAAACACTAATACCCTCTGATCTTCCAGATTCTCAATGTCACATAAGCTAAAGTAGAAATATTTCAGGGGGAAACAACCAAAACAGTAGCAACAACAAAACAAACAGAAGCCAGATTAGGAACAGAGGAGCATGGGAACCAAAAACAAACAAACAACCTTCAGAAATTACGGAAGGGCCTGAAGTTTCCGGCAGGAGAGCTCAGGTCAACCCCAGTCTTGAGTGTGTAAAAGGAAGTAACTGCCAGAGCAGCAGGGAGGAGTGCACAGCTTCCTTTAATTAGACCCATCCAGCCCTCACCAGTGTGGCTCAATGGTTAGGGTGTCCGCCCATGCATCGAAGGGTCTTGGGTTCAATTTCCAGTCAAGGGCACATACATACCTGGCTTGCAGGTTTGATCCCTGGCCCTGGTTGGGCACATGTGGGAAGCAACCAATTGATGTGTCTCTCACATTGATGTTTCTCTCTCTTTCTCTCTCTCCTTCCCTCCCTCCCTCCCCCTTGCTCTAAAAAATCGGCCTCTGGCACTTTGGTGGGGCGTCTGGGTCACAGAGAAGGCATGTGTATCACTTTACCTACCACTAGACAGTCTTCCAAGGGGTTGTACCAGTTTATACGTCCACCAGCAGCACACGAACGTTCTAGCTGATCCACCTTCTCGCCAGCACTTGATGCTGTCCATTGTCCGTTGAGTTGAGCTCTGTTTTCTTTCTTTTTCACTTGAGCCATTCTGGTGGGTTTGTGCTTCGACCTTTGTAGTCTTAATTTGCATTTCCCAAAGGATTAACCTATGGAGGCCTCCAAATGAGCACCTTTGTAAAGGCCTTTGTACGGGCTCTAGGTCCCCTTTACAGAGACATCATGAAACAGGCATGTCAGAAAGCATCATAAAGAGGAAAGCATGCTCAAAATGGGAATTAAAGATGAGGAAAGAGCACTGTCTGGACAGCAGTGAGAAGGGAGAAATGGGGGAGGCCTGGAGCAGGGAAGGGG